TCAAATTTAGTCAGTAGTTCAAGGTTCTTTATTGTCAAACTAACATAGCTACAGAGTAATTATGTCGTTGAAAATCTTATGTCACAGGCTTCTCCAACAATGCAACATAATAATAATACAGATAGTAAAAGTAATACAAAAGTTTGGGGAACTGTCGAAATGGCGAACGCAGATAAAGTTGAGCTCGAAAATCCTCCAGCATCATTGAAGTCTCCGGGTTTGGGAACATTTTGGTTTCGCAGTTACGTACAAGGATGACGGACAAAGACAGGTGGACCGAACCAAAGCTGTTTGTCGGCATTGTTCAACTAAAATGTATTACGCGGCACACTCATTTGAAAAGGCATCACCCGAACGTGAATATCACCGGTGCCAAAAGAAAAATGACTGAAGTGCAAACCCAACTCCCACTAGCATTTAAGCCTCCACCACTCAGTGCCATGTTAGCAAAGCGTTACCTGGCTGTATCTGCTACCTCTGTCCCTAGCGAGAGGGTGTTCTCCACAGCATGAGACATTGTTAGTGCCAGCAGATCTGCCCTTTCAGCAAGCAATGTGGACAAGTTAATTTTTCTAAAAGAAAAACATGAAAATACAAGCAAGTCATAATGTCAAACTAGTACAGTACAGTTCAAGTACAGATTATTTCAGTTCATCGAAATGCTGCATCTTAATGTTTATTTTATTATATTTATTGGAGTGAATATTCACAGTTTAATAATAATTAAAAACCCCAAAAAAATATTTTATGTTTTGTGATCATTTTTTCTGCTGTACCGAAAACGTACCGAACCGTGACCTAAAAACCGAGGTACGTAGCGAACCGAAATGTTTGTGAACCGTTACACCCCTAGAACGTAGATCTAAAAAACTACACGCAGACTATCGATTGGAAGAGAATATGGAATAATATCTCCTTAACATCGCGTAACCACAATCACCAATTGATACAGTATAAAATGATACACAGATATTACCTGTCAACCAGAAAATACTGTCAATTAAGGATGATTCCAAGCCCCAAATGCCTTCTATGTAACCAAAACAAGTTATTGACATTGTATCTGAGATTATTGGAGTTCACATACCCTGTCTCCCAAATATTGTATTGTTGAATGATGATTATTCTCTTGACCTACTAAACCATCAGAAAAGGGTGCTTTTCACTGGTCTAACAGCAGCCAAAAAGATAATTGTAATACGATGGAAACCCCAACATACTTTATTTATTAAAGGTGGGGTAGGTAATTCTGGAGAAACCAGCTAGAATTTGAAAATACACAACCGGAAAAAATCTGCCACTTCCTTACAGAGCCCCTCCTCCAACACACACGAATGCGCACATGAGCAGAGTTGGGTGTGACAAAAAGTAATATTATTACTTTTGTCGGTAACGGAGTAGTGTAACGCGTTACTTTTATAATTCAGTAATCACACTACAGTTACTAACATTGCCCCGACACGCGTTACTTCGTTACTTTTATAAAATCAGTCATAATCACACTGACAGACAAGAGGGGTTTCCGCCGCAGGTTTATATGTACGTAATCTCCACGTGCAGTGCTGCATAAACATGGCAGAGTCAGCGATAACTTTCGAGGGGTGGAGGTATGCCCATTATTTTGAGTTCGTCCGAAGAATAGACAGGAATGTGACGGTGAGGTGCAAACTGTGTCCAGGCCAGAAGCTGTTATACACTGCTGCAAACACCTGCAAAGAACACATGCTAAGGTGAAGCTAATAGCTAAGGAGCGGACCCCCGAACCCAGAGTGAGGATGTTGTGAGTCGCAGCCGCCGACTCCCAAGCGGCACAAATTAGAATTTGGAGGACCGGTAACCAAAGCAGAGATGGACAGGCTTGTAGCATCCTTCATAGTAGAGGTAATGTTGCCCATTTGCACAGTGGAATCACCATCGCATCGTTCAGAGATATACTGCGCAGGAGACAGAGGACAGCTATAGTCAGAGCTATCTGGATCAGTCTTATGCGACAATGGAAACTGAACTAAAGAGAACATTTGAAACTTTAGCAGTCTGCGTGATCTGCCTGTAGGGAGGGGCGGGCCGGCCCTGCGAGTAAAGTAACGAGTTACTTTATGTAGAGAGTAACGAAGTAGTGTAATATATTACTTTTTTTTAAAAGTAATATGTAATATATTACTTTTATTTTAGTAACGACCCCATCTCTGCACATGAGCAATGAGGGCACGAGATAAGTTTGTGTACAGATGGAAGGCTGACAGGCAGGTAGGCCATCCAGTTATTTTAGCCGGGCCGGCTAAAATGATTGGTCGTGCTCTTTACAGTACGCCTTCCACAGATGAAATTCTTTTATGGATTTTTTGTCAAAGCACTGAAGATATTCATTGCTATCGGGATGTTAAGAGCATTCCATGGAATATAACAAAAAGTGTATCTCGAGCCGGTTTCTCAAATTTACCTACCCCACCTTTAAGCAATGGATATCATCCTTCCATGACCTACTAATCTCAGAGCTGTCAATCGCTTCTGCTAATAAGGCTAAGGGGGAAACATTAGAGGCTATTAAAAGAGCTGCTGATTTGGTAATATCATTCATGTAAATTAAGATTGTACATATATGCACACCTTGGTGCAATTGTAGATTATTAGGAGTCAATCTCAATTCAGTTTAAACAGATTAAATGTTATGAAAAAAATAATAAAACGTATGAATGTATTTGATGTGGATAAATTGTTATGCTATAATATAAATAATATATATAATATAATAGATAGATTCACTCTTAAGAAGCCGCCTTGGAAAAACCCTGACTGTACAGTAGGAGCAGTCTTAAAATAACAGCGTACAGTGGTCAAAACTCTGCATCAGCACAGAACCCGAGTACCTGCAGTAAGCAGAGGCCGCAGGCTTCATCCAATGTGCGTTCTTCATCACGGCTTGATCCCTTAAATGTCAAGCACTGTGATAACAGAACATGATATGGTAAAGTGACAAATATAAAACAGTGACCGCCCTGAGTGGGGATAGTTTAGTGTTCAGTAGTAGTGGTCTTTATGCGCTAATCCTAATCCTTTTACCGTCTGACTTTGAATTTTCTGCCCTGACCATCTACACCAACCATGTGCCAAGGTCTATCTTCATAAACCCCACAGGGTCTATAAAGTTCTACAACTTTATTAGAATTAGACCGCATTATCTTGAGCTCGCTGTGTGAATGTTTTTCAATAAAACAAGAGCATTAGAAATTGGATTCAGCCTTCTATTCAGGGAAATAATGACATAGTAACAGTCAGAGTATTTCCCCCAGGAGAGGAGAGAAGAGGGGGGAGGCTGGGAGCAGCTCATCTCCTGGGGGGTCAGTCTCATGTCACAAGGTCATGGTGATCAGATCTGGTTAAAAGGAGGGTCGCATGCAACCCAACAGCCGAGCTGGAGCATGGTTGAAATTGCTTTGGGTTGACGCAGGCTTCTTTTTAAGAACAGCACACAGCAGAGTAACGGTTAGAGATAACTACCAGGGTGTTAGGACAACTTTTAAAATGATACTGCTCATTGTCTCAGAATGAAAATGAAACTACTTATGGCTTCTGAGAAACATGTCTCATTGAAACAAAAGCTGCCCACAGTTTCCTCTCCTTCGCACTGTCAACCTAGAGACACACCGGTCTTCCTGTCAACATAGGAATGCCCTGTCCAACTGTGTGTGGTACTGAACTGCATTTACCACTGCAGCAACACTTTGTACAGCTCTCTCTACGGCCAGGTTAGGTGTGACAGTCAGTCTCTATATAGATGATTCAGCAGCACAGTTAAACTTTGCACACTTCATACTGCTGAGTGGCGACACGGTCACGATCCTCACAGGGTTTGCCAGATGTCTACAGCTTCCTTACAAACATCTCATTACTCTACAATAATAAGAATGAAAGCATTAATATGTCATGTAATAAATATAATTTTCACAAGTTTCAAAAGTATGTGTATTTGCATTAAGCTGCCGGATGTGTTTATTGGATTGGTAAGATGTGAAAACCTGCGCAGTGTGTTATACAGTTATAAGGTTTGTTGCTTTTTCAACATGATGGTTATTTGGGAAGCTGTAATGTGTGCTGCCAGCTAACTAACTGCATTGGATTATTCTGAGAGCAGGGTGCAAACATTTGTAACATTTCTCGAGAAATTATTCATTGGTCTTAGCTGTATTTCAATAATGAGAAAAATGTGTGCAGGTCTGAATATGGTGTATTATAATACTAATAAAATATAATTGAGAAAATATTGATTTAGATTAAATATTTTATCAAGCATTGACTCATGTTATTGATGACTCACCTCTGTTCGTCATAAACTTGCAGCTATAAAAATGCATTTTACAGGAACTCCTCCTTGCTTTATCACTTGCTTTCAGTGGAAGCAGTTTCTGTCACGTAATCCATCAAAACTATGGATTATTGCCAATTAGTTCAGGTATAAGTAATGCACTAGTTGGATGTGCCTTTATTACAACTGGCATCATCAATCTTGTGTCCCTAATGGTGCCGCAGCAACATGTGATGCATGTGTTGTGCAAATTAAATTAACAACATAAAAAAAAAATCTAATTTCAGCAGCCCTAGTGTATTAATGGACAGAATGCTGTGTTGAGAAAATTATCCATCAGGGAATTAGCCACGCTTTAACCTGGAGTTAGAGGACTCACTAACCTCTTACACCTAAAGTCAGGTCTAATTAGCAAACAGAACCCAGATATTGAAAGTAATGGTACCTTGGTGACAGAATGGAAATGCCTGATTCTTCAACACTGTCAGATGCCTTCAACACTTACTCTTCATGTAGTCCTATACAGCCAGTCTACTGCGGGTGTTTAACCACCTTGCTGTGTGACAGGTGTAATTCAGCAGACCAGCATAAATCTGGCTCCTGGGGGACAACACTGCAAACCACTGGCTCTCAGGCGTAGAAAAAAAGAAGCCTACATTCAAAGTGCTGGCTGTGTGTTTTCACCTGCAATACTTACTTTCGTCCTTCCATTTATTGTGTAGTTTCCCAATTTGCCGTTACAATGTCTGACCAGGTCGTCCATACGACTCATCAGAAAGCGGATCTTCTCGCAGCCGGGCTCCCTCCCCTCTATCCACGTGATTTTGTCCCCTCGGATGTCTTTAGTAGAGTCGCTTTTTTGACTGACCAGCTGTCCGTCTGTGAACTTGCCCGTTTTGTGCAAAGCTTTAACATTATCCAAAATGCCAAGCCCAGTCTCTGCTCCTAAAAAGTTGTCCACCACACAGATACCGTGCTTGTTCATACACGGGACTATGTACTCCATGGCAAGTTTCTGAGGGGATGAGCTAGTTTGTCCGTTAGGTGTGGCGGTGTTGTTGGACACGACCTCTCCCGGTCCGTCACCGTCTCCGGGTGCTTCTGTGTTTGAGTTTTGTGGTAAAGACGCACTGTCCGCCTGTTCGGGGCTTGTCTTTTCCCGGTCTTTCTCCTGTGCCTCGTCGTCCCCCGAAGGCGCAGGCTGCTCGGGCTTCTGTTTGGGAAGCTGCGCCTTGTCCATACACATTAGCTTGTGTTTCTTCCAGTGCTGTTTCTGGTGCTCCTTGCTACAGTAAAAGGAGCTCCGGCACCTACCACACTTAAGGAGGTTCTCCATTTTCCCACAAAGTTCACAGTACTGTCGCTCTCGTTCCAAATCGCTCTGCTGCTTCTCCATGTTTGCAGCTACAGCGGGTGCACTGCGCCTTTAATTCCGATCCTTCACACGCGCCCTGCTAACCGACAACTTTGGAAACGATCCGCTGCCGTTGCCACGCTACACCGAGCGAGACGGGAAAGTAAGAATCAAAACCCCGCCATAGTATAACACGTACTCCCTCTTTATATCTTGTATCAGCGAAATAATTCAACAACGGGAGCCCTGGACCGAACATTTCGGGCTGGGTCGGGCTCTTCAGAAGGCTAGCTGTCGGTCCGAGGGTAGTGCATGGCGCCGCTCCGTGTGTGCTCTGCTGGTCCAGCCTGCTCTCTCTGACGTACACACTCAAGCCCCGCCCCTGTCGCGATGCCTTCGTGGGCTGTCAGACAAATGATCGTTTATAAAATGGTACTAAACCACGTGGAAACAGTTAATCTGTCAGGTCAGGGGAATATAGGGAGCATGTCCTCGCCTCACCTATGTGTGTGAAAGTCTGGCCAATAAATAAAAGAGTCATACATGTAATCTTGTTTATACCCGTCCAGTTCTCTGTGATCATGTTAACCGACAGTTGGGTGGTAGTGAAAATTACACAAGTGCAAATAGTAGTGTGCTTAACTATGGGCAACATTTTTTAAATCTATTTGTATGCTACCCTATATATCCACACAATTTGAATTATTGCTTTTGTATAGACTACCCAACATAATAGAATATTTAAAATAGCTCCACCCTAAAACTACCTGATTACAATGCTATAACACAAATGCCTATATCCAACAATATACACATACAATTTAACTGAAATGGAATATCCTGCATGATGGGTGATTTTATTGTCGTTGCTAAAGAATATTTAGCAGATGATTTACTTATACTTGTTTGAACTTTTAAATGAAGCACTTTTACTTTTAATTGAGTTGATTTAAAATCTGATATCTGAATTCTTGAATCAACTCTGCATACAGAATAGAATAAATACAGTTGAATTATTAAACCTACATATTACAAAAACATACTTTCTTTCTGTCGTTGCCACCTCAACCATGGCCGATGTAGAGCTAGAGGCCTATATTTAATATTTAACACCAATATGACAAAATAAAGGATGCACTTTCATTAACATTGGATCCATTAGTATGTCCAGAAAACATGTGTTTTGGGAAAACAATTGTGAAGTGCATCTGCAACTCAAACTGGAAAAGTGATGTAAGCCTAATATAGTTTTAGCTTTGGGCATCACTGACATGTGTGATACACACTTTCCTTCCTGTAGTAGTTGGACGTACATCCCTGCAGCTTGATTTATAAAATAGGTTACGCATGACAAAATACAATTATTCAATAACAGAGGCATTGGGAGAAGCCAGCAGGTCGAAAGCCCGAATGAAAGACCTTGGAGGGAGCCCTTGAAGGCATCATCATTCAACGTCAACGTTAGTGTTATTTGCCCTCATTCCTGGTTTACATGTGTGAAATTCCTTTCACACAACAAAAACATGTTTTGCATAAAGATGTTGCTGGTGTTATAATAGACTGATTAATTAGTACGTGGGCGGTTACGAAGTTTATGATTGAGGTTGAGAAACAGACTTACATCGTCCATCGGAATGCATAATATCACTTGTAGCCTATATAATCTGTATCAAGCATAAATGTATACTCAGCTGAATACAACATTGTGGAAATAAGTGTGACCTATCAGTCGTGAAATACGGGAAACTGGTGTCAGAATGACAGGGGGGGCTGTGCAGAGGCAAAGTGCAAGCTCAAGTTGGCACCAGTCGTGTGGCACGTACACAGTCTGCAGGAGTCCCTGGAGGAGGGGCTATAGAGAGAAGCGAGTAATCTGATCAACAAGGGTTAGATGAAACATGCTTAATAACAACAAATGACACAGGCTAATAAAGGGTGGCAGCCTTGAGATGTCTGATTACTCAATCTGGATTTTTACTTGAAACAAAAAGTATTTTGGCTGCAAGCGCAGGCTTATCCACCCCCCCTCCTTTAAAACTATATATTTTACACAGAAACATTCATATTATTAGATTAAATATTGTATCAACTAATTCAACAATGCATGACACTGAATGTTAAATAACACCATCAATCACAAGTACAACGATATTTTGTCATATTTCACGACAATATTTCTTAAAACAAACAATTAACTGTGTTCTTCCTTGCTTTAAAATATATGTTATTGTTTTTAATTATTCAAAACACATTTAAATGTTAAAATTCCAAAATATGACTTAAGTATATTAAAGAAATGCTGTAATAAAAAATGCCCTCTTGTGTTACTACATATCCCATCAGACACTTCTTCTCGTTTCCTGCTACGCGTGTAAACAGCGCAAAAGCCCGGCGAATAATGAGGACCACGTAAATGCCTGTTGTTAAAAACAAGTACACATGCTTTATTTGGCATTTTAGCATTTTAGAACTGTTTAATTCAGTATGTTTATTGCCGCTCAGATTTGGTGACTTTTATGTTCAAACGGGTGTGTTTTTTCTAGTCACGTTGATAGTGCCTGACACATGTACAGCACTCTGCCTCGCTACACTCGTCGGCAGCACAGCTTTCTGTAACGTTAGCTAAAACAGTTCGAATACATCCCTGACCGAGCGTATAATAATTACATTCATTGAAAGAATACACTGCCGAAAGCATGAATAGGCGAGAAGGTAAGTCCAGCTTTTGAGACTCAACTAAGATAACAACGAGCTGTATTGTTGGTTGTTGTCATAAGCATGGTATAGCATTAACTGAGCCATACAACGCAACGTCAACAAACGAGTTAGCTTGAATTAAAATGCAGCATGCTAGCTGTTGAGACTGAACTGCAATGAAATAATTTGTATATTGATGTTTAAACTGTCTTTCTGTCCCTCTCTTATTACAGTACTGTTTGTCAAGATCACACTATAGCTGAAATTGTATTATTTTGTTAGTAAGTGGTAACACTGGTCTTAGCAATGATAGCTAACGGAGCTGCAACTAAAGCATTTGGATTATTGATTTAGTCAGCCCACTATTTTCTCGTTTAGTATTTTGATGATATGGCTTGCCAAATGTGAGAGTAACAAAAAAAAGTCAGAACACCAAACTTATGTCTTCAAATTAGTTTGATCAGCATACGAAACACACAAGGTGCCTCCATAAACATGCATCTGTTTGCATCTTGCAATTTATTTATCTATATCATATTCCATTCATGTATTTATAGACTCTTCTTGCACTATTTCAATTTTATTTGTATTTACTTGCACATCTTCAACATTCTCTTGCACTATTTTATTTCTATTCTGATATTTCTTGCACTATTTTATTGGTTGTATGTCCTATATATTATGTTGCATTGTTGAAGGAGCCTGGGACGTTTTTCATTGCCATATCTACACTGTAGCTACTGTGCACATCACAATAAAGCCTTGAATGTTGAGGTTAGTCACTTAACTATCATAAAAAAAACTTTAAAAAAATCGTCAGATAAACATTTTTGAGAAGCTGCAACGAAGGATTCTTTGTTTTTTTCAAAACTGACCATTCATTTATTATCAAATAGAAAGACAAATAGTTGCAGATTGTCTCATGGTTGTGGCTCTAATTCCATCCCCACCTACCAAACATAGTTGAATCTCAAAAACAAAGCTAGATCCTGCAAATCCCACAACAAAACCATATGTTTAAAACTCAAAATCTAGTTTGTAACACAGACTTTCCATTAAATACGTATGTCTTTACCGCCATTCACAATAAACACTGTTGACTTCGGTGCAAATGACTAAACTGATCGTATTGAGCAACATCGATGGAGTGGCTTTTTAATTTGACAAGGCCAGTTTGGAGAAATTGACAGCAAAGAGCCATTTATTATTGAAGACAACCTGCATACTTTATGCTTTGTGTCAGGTGAAGGAGGCTCCCGGAGAAATGCTGATGCAGCGCAGGATCGTGAAGCGAGTGCACAATCATCCTCACCGGTCATCGCTGCTTTCAAAGGTAACTGCACCATCAGCCTTTTTAATTGCAGTGGCACTGTCATGTTTTCTGGATTTCATTTGTGTCGAGTCATCAAATTAACTTTGTTTTCTGTCTTTGAAGTTTTCCAACAGGAGCTTGACACCAAACACGACAAACATGAGCGCCTTGTCAAGATCAGTCGAGACGTCACCATCGAAAGCAAGAGGACCATTTTCCTTTTACATAGAGTGACCAGGTATAAACAATTATAACAATACATCTTAATTGGTGAACCTAATTTAAATGGGAGAATTCCTCTCATTTTCAGTTAGTACATATGCAAAACACATTGCACTAACACAATATAACTTCTGTTTTCTGTACTTTTCTGATCTTGTATTTCTAACGTTTATTTTGTGTGTTTGTCTTTATTGGTAGTGTACCAAATGCAGAGGATATTTTGAATGAAGCAGAGCTGAAACTGGATGCAGTCAGGCAGAAAATTGGTCAAATTGCTGAAGAGCTCAGAGGAGAGGACATCTTTCAGTTCCACAGAGCGTTCACTGGAGGTGAGTTACCGTAGACCTTTACAAACCCTTACCTTCATTTGCATAAAAGAGCATATAAAACATGTTTAGGGTTAAGCTTTGGGAAAAATAGTTCTGAAAATATATAATAGACTAATGTATATAATAAAAGCAGTTGGTAACCATCGCTAGTGTGTTGCCACAGCCCTTTGCTCTGCAATATAAGCTGAAGATGTTATTCTACCACCTCTCATGTCTCTATACAATTGATATTTTTACAAGATAATGAACCTCAATAAACATTAATCAAACTTCTGAGCTGTGGTGCACTTTTTTATTATTTTGAATACTTTGGTTTATGAAGAAATAAACAAACTCATGTGATGTGACTCATGTGATCGACCTCAGCTGTACTTTGTGTTAAGTTTTAATGAGCAAAGCATGCTAACTCAGTAAACTGAGGTGGTGCACATGGTGACGTTTTCCCCTGCTGCAAGCATGCTGACGTTGGCGTTTAGTTCAAAGCACCGCTGTGCCTAATAACCGCCTCACAGAGTATTTAAAAATATCTTTGAGTAAGCATCTGATTGAATGCTCATATTAAGAACATATTTGTAAATTAGTTCAATATATTTTGTAAATTATATTATTTATATTAACTAAAAAATATAAGTTTTCTACAAAAAAACGTATAATAATATATACAAAAGACATACAAATACCAACATAGAATACAGTTACATATGCATGTATGAACATATACACATACTTAAATATATCTTAAACACACGCTTGTATAGACATGAATTTAT